GTGTGTGTGTGTGTGTGTGTGTGTGTGTGTGTGTGTGTGTGTGTGTGTGTGTGTGTGTTCCCACACCATCATGTAACAGGTTTTGAAAACAAAAACCATCTTGGACCTGAGCTCCAAGGTTGAACAGTCATTCCAGCTGCTGTTCCAAACAGATCCAACTTCTCCTCTTCTTCTCTAAACTAGTCCCATTTATTTACAAGTGTGTGCAGGTTCATCTTCATCTGTCTACATGATCAACAGCACTGGTCCAAATCCAAATGTGTGTGTGTGTGAGCGCATGTAAGGTGCAGGAAGGCAGCTCTGTGGTGAGGTCGATGAGGGTGGGCTGGGGGTCTTTAGCACTGTCTGATGGAGGAGGGGGACACTTCCAATCACCTTATGAAGAAAACTAATCCGGTCCATTTCTTGGTCCGATAGAAAAAAGTGACCCTGATGTGACATTTACAGTCCAACATGTCTTCTGAGCCTTACTTCCTGGCAGGGTGGGAAACCTAAAGAAATGACTCAGAGTTCATGTGAGAAAATGTTTCTGCTGAGGTTGAGGAAAGCTGTGGTTTTTCACCAGTCAGACCAGGACAGACTGTCACCTACTGCCTGGGCAGAGTTCACTGAAGGTAGSAGAGCCATGGTGCTGGTAGAAATGGCTTCCCTCGAAACAATTCTGACCCCAAGAATTAAAGAAAAAAAAATTACAAGATCAAAATCAATTTTTGGTGAAGAGTTTGACGCCCGCTTGCTGGGTAATTTCTGGTTCAGGAAACAGAGTTTCCCCCTTTGAATAAATTCTGGACCCAGGCGAGGGGCGTGGCCTGATGTCAGGAATCATCGTCCGTGTCGTCAATCAGAACCTTGGTGTCACGAGTCTTTGACCTGAGAGGAAAAGGACGGGAAAAAATTAACAAGTGGAATTACCGTAGAAAGATAAAAAATAAACGTTTTACAGTTTGGACACAGTTTAATATTCTGTTTAAAGTTCAACAAACCAGAGAGCCGACATGTTTTAGTTTGATAAATAACAACTTTCATTGTTTGATATAAACTGACTGTGACTCCAGAAAACTACCTGCTCATCCCACTTCTGCAAAGAAAAACATGGTTCTGCTGTTTTAGAAACATTTCAAAGAGATGGGCATTTCATTGACATTTTTAACCTCTTTCCAGAAGGCTTTAGTGTTTTTACATATTAGCTTTTTTCCAGGGAATCAGCCCTCATGGTTTGCTCATTTGGTCTAATGAAGTGTAACACATTTTTGTACTTTGCATTAGGCAGCTTTTTCTGCTCAAAAACAGGGCCCTGCCTAGGTTTTCCTACTGGAGCCCAAGAAGCAGTGGCTTCTTCTTCACTGTGGTGTTTGGACACATATGTGTTCCAACCTGGTTTATTATTAAACTTTATACTACTTATATTTTAAGGTAAATTAGCACCCAATAGTGCTTCAGTGATGTCAGAGAAAAACCCAGTTATTTTGGTTATGTGTTCAATATTAAAGCAGTTACAGTCTGCACAAAGTAACTGGCTCTCTTGGTAATTTAATGGCACAATAAGAACTGATCAGTTTGGGCATTTTAACAGGCTGTTTGTTCAGCAGATAAAGACGACCAATCTATTCGTGTCTGATAGTGATTACTGTTCACATATACAGTTGATATATCTGATTAAATCTAATAGACACCTCGAAGGGGATGTGATCACCAAAGGATATATATAATTTATTAATGTCTACCAAGGCAGCATGGCTGTCTGCTGCAGAGATCCAATGGTCCAACCAGGATGTATTATGCCAGGCTTCACTTATAAAGGTCTAACTTTCAGCTGGAAAAAGTCCTTTACTTGATACAATTAGATTAAATTCTGTACAAAAATGGTGCAGGTGTTTAGTAAACAGTGAGTTATTTTCTGAGATGTCTGCATTCATGTCACCTATAACATAAATGCTTTTTGACTTCTCATTTTGAATAAAAGAGCTGATATAAGCAAGTTTACTAAGGTATTCTTCTTCATTATGATGACATTCATGTGGAGCATTGACATTTAAAATAATAAATTCTTTCTCATGTGTATTGTAATACAGTAGTCCACAACAGAGGTGATTTCTCTGAGAC